TGCATTGTGGTAAACTGTGGTCAATGTCATGGGACAAAGTGTATGTGAACTGCTGTATGGAAAGTGAATTTGGTCTGTAAACTTTCACCCAAATAACAATTAAAAAAAAAAGTTTTTGACTAGCTGCTCAGAGCCACACAGCTGATAATAGGGTCTCCATGTGATCATGATCTTAAACGACAGACTATGTAATCCATATACTTAGTCATTTGTTTTGCTTTTCATTAAATTTCTGAAGAGCTAAAATCAAGCAATTTCCTTAAAAGACGTTAAGTTTCAGGGTATTCACAGGTTTTTCAAAAATCTATATGATGATTAAATAATAGTAAAGGTTTATGCTAGCTAATGGTAAAATAATTTCAACTAATGGAAACATGAAGAGTTTTAATGCCTGTCGTCTCTGTCACTAAAAAAGAAATGTCTATTAAAGACTACAATAATCATATGAACACTTCAGCTTAGGGGCAAAGGCAAATTGTATTCAATTAAATCAGTCCCTTGTTTTCACTCTTACGAAACCAAATCTTCCAGAATTCACATAGGATACCAGGAACTTACTTTGACCTGAGGGTAGGATTTCTTGTTCTTTTCACTAGACGCACCAGGAAGTCCACCATGGGATGGGCCTTCACATACATAACGGAAACGAAATCCTCTCTGCAAAGATGAACATAGGGTGAACAAGTTTGATAAATATTTATTAACAACTATAGTGATAAAGTTACAGAATTCTAATTCCAATGTGTATCAGATGAGAGAAGAAAAATATAAAAGGGTCTCTATAAATGAGTATCACTTTTCCTATGATCTTATTAAGAACATTGATAACTGATATCTGTGCCGTGAGATGTGGCTAAAAGCCAGGTGCCTAACCAGGAGGTATCTCTTATGCTCTGCTTGAGTGGAGAGGAGACTGCTGAAGAGTTTTAAGTTTTTGTTTGGACTTGACTAAGGCTTCTTTGAATCAGAGCTTCCTTATCTTAAGTTGCCACTGCCAAGCTATTTGAAAATTATGCTTCTTTGACTTTTATATTAAGGAATTCCTCATCAGCTCTGATTACAGTTGGCTCCAGGGGGAATACAGAAATGTAGCATTAAACATATTACATCAGTGTGGCAGATCCACCCTACACTGAACTCTGCATCTGGTGTACCTTACTCAACATATAACCAAGCTCATGCTGGGTATGTTAACTGATCGAAGTGAATCTAAAACCAGACATTCCCCTTAAATATTCTTGATGACTCAGGAATTTTACAGGTAATCAATGAAGGGCTAGCTGGAACTCTTTAATATGTGAACTACTGTGCACTGACAAACATCTAAACGAAAGACTAAACCCACTGCCGTGGAGTCGATTCCAACTCACAGTGACCTTATAGGACAGAGTAGAACTGCTTCATAGGGTTTCCAAGTCTGAAATATTTATGGAAGCAGACTGTCACATAGTCTTCAGTGAAGCAGCTGGTGGATTCGAACTGCCAACCGATCGGCTGACAGCTGAGGGCTTTAATAGCTGTACTGTCAGGGCTCCTTGATAAACATCTAAGTGCCATGTTTTTCTCATCTATACAAATGAAAAGATTAGAAGCAGACTCTTCAAGTTCTACTCCAGTTCTAACTTTTGATGACTTTCAAAAGAAATTTTATTGTAATTATGCATATTTATATTCAAAGAATAAAACAAGGACAATTCTTGGAATGAATCTCATCACCATATTCAGGGAACTTTCATTGTATTTCCTGAAAGACTCAACTAATAACTGCTTTAAAATGATGTCAAGCTATTTGTAGTAATGTTACTAGTTTATAATTGCACAGTCACTTAAGCAGGTTCTCCCCCCACCCAAATTCACCCTTTTGCAAAAAGAACAGCATGTTAACATGCTTTAAGGAACATCTTCATGTTTCATTTCTTTTTATTGTGGCACTGACTACTTCAATTAAACAGTGCTAAATTATTAGGTTATCAGGAGTACCCCACACCCTGTACTTGCTAGTGGGGGTTTCCTACCTCATATATCTTTTTCTTTTTTTAATTGTGATTTGGGTGAAAGTTTACAGAAAAAATTTACTTTCCATATAGCAGCTCACGTACACTTTGTCTCATGACATTGACTACAATTTACCACAATTCAGCAGCTCCCCTCCCACTTCCTCCCCATAGTTACCTCTTCCCTGTGCCCTTCCTTCCATGCACTCCTGCCCTCTGAGCTGTCTCCCTGTGTATACACAGCCCTTCTATTCTCCCATGATTGTTCTCTCCAAGGAGTGTATCTAGCTAATATAAATGTTCACCTCACATGCCTGTCTTTTGTTTGGGTGGAAGCCACAGAGTGTGTTCAATTCCAGACCTGAATGGCAGCTAGGGGCCATAGTCTCAGGGGTTCCACCACGTTCTATCAGACCAGCAAATCTGGTCCCTTTTATTTTTTTAATGTTTTTGAGTTTTGTTCTACATTGTTCTCCCACTCTATCCAGGATCTCCTACATAGATCCCTCTCCAAGTGGTTAACAGTGGTAGCTGGGCACCATCTAGTTCTTCTGGTCTCATAGTTGTATACACTGAGGCAATCCTCAGAGAAGAGACCCATTGTTGCATCTAGATGGCCGCTTGCAAGCTTTTAAGATCTCAGTCACTACTGGCCAAAGTAGGATGTGGAACAATGTTTCGTGTAGTATGTTATGTCAGTTGAGCTTCACATCCCCTGCAATTATGGTCCCTAGCCCACAGGTCCAACTACTCGCTCCCTCTGGGTAGCAGGCTGTGCCCAAGAAGTAACTACAACCTTGTTCCCTGTCACATTCAAGTATCTTTGCAGACCCAGTAAACATGAACGTTTTCTTTTTTTTAATTTTCTTTTCTTTTTTCTTTTTTTTAATGCATTTTATTGGAGTATGATTTACGTATAGAGAAATACACAAAACTAAAGTGACATGGGTCAATGCATTTTTTTTTTTTTTGCAGTGTTCCCTCCCCTCTCACCCCTGGCAACCAACAAAGAAAGTTTCCCTCCATATAGAAACCTTTCCTTGACCCTCCACAACAATGAACTAATACTGTATTTGTCCTTCTGATTGACTTATTTCATGCAGCATAATGTCCTCCAAGTTCATCCACATTCTGCAGTGTTTTGCAGACTGTACATTATTCTTTGGAGTTTGGTCATCCACTCCTCCACTGATGGGTACATAGATTGTTTCCATCTTTTTGCTATTGTAAATAGTGCTGCAATGAACATGAGTGTGCATATATCTGTTCCTGTCCTGGCTCTCACCTCTCTAGCTATACCTAGTAATGGGATTGCTGGGTCAAACTGTATCTCCGATTCCAGCTTTCTAAGGAATCACCATATTGCTTTCCACCGTGGTTACATCACTTCACAGTCCCACCAGCAGTGTACGAGAGTCCCAATCTCTCTATATCCCCACCAGCATATGCTATTTTTCTGTCTTGTTGAACCTTGGCATCAGTGCTGGGATGAGATGGTATCTCGTTGTTTTGATTTGCATCTTTCTGATGGCCAATGATTGTGAGCACCTCTTTATGTATTAGCTGGCCACCTGAGTATCCTCCTTGGTGAAGTCTATTCATGTCTTCTGCCCATTTTTCAACTGGATTGTTAATTCCTTTGGTGTTGAGGCATTTGAGTTTTCTATAAATCTTAAGCAATAAGTCCCTTGCCAGATATGTAATTTGTTGCTGTCATTTTTGTTATGTGCTTTTTTGTGGTGTTGACTTCTTTGTTACATATAATTTTCTATGCTGAGCACGTTTTGTTTATGAATCGTGTTATTACTTCCTTCATTGCTCTTGTTTTAGTATTTGCTAAATATTTGTGCCAGTCCTCTTTTTTATTCTGATGTGAAGGTTTATCATTTTTCTTTGAGGTTATCTTGTGATTTATAGTTTTCTTCCCAACTTTAGAACAGTCCATTCTATCTTGTAGTTGTATTGACATCCCTACCATCTAGAATTTCTGTAACGACACAGTTTTATCCCTCTTTTTTGTTGTAGTTGTCCTCATTTGTCAATTAATGTCTCTGGTTCCCCATTTACAATCTTGTAGGGTTATTTACTTTGGATGCTTCCATGGCTGGGTTGGTTTCTGGGTTATATCATCATGTGTGTTAATGGTCAGTTGTTGTTGGCTGTTGTTGCTTCTCTGTCCATAGGACTCCCTTTAGCATCTCTTGTAAGGTTGGTCTGGTTTTAACAAATTCCCTTAATTTCTGCTTATCTGGAAATGTCCTAATTTCCCCATCATATTTGGGGGACAATTTTGCTGGGTACATAATTCTTGGTTGGAGATTTTTCTCTTTCAGGGTTTTATATATACCATCCCATTGTCTTCTCGCCTGCATGGTTTCTGCCAAGAAGTCTGAGCTTAGTCTTATTGGTTGCCCCTTGTAGGTAACTTTTTGTTTTTCCCATGCTGCTCTCATGATTCTTTCTTTGTCTTTGGTTTTGGTGAGTTTATGATATGTCTTGGTGATTTTCTTTTGAGGTCTATCCTGTTGGGGTTTGTTGGAATTCCTGAATGGATATATTCTTATCTTTTATCATATCAGGGAACTTCTCTTCCAACAAGTCTTGGACAATTTTCTCAGTGGCTTTATTTGTGTCTTCCTGTTCTGGAATTCTGATTACATGTAGGTTATTCCTTTTGATAGTATCCCACATGAACCTTAGGCTTTCTTCATTTTGTTTTGACCTTTTTTTCTGATTGATCCCTTTCTAAAGAAGTATTCAGGTATTTGTCTTCAATCTCATTAATTCTGTCTTCCATTGATTCAATTCTACTTCTTTGCCCTTTCAGTGTGTTATCTATTTCTGACAATTTAGTATTAATCATCTGGATTTCTATCTGTAGATTTAGAATCATTTCTAATTTTTCATTGATTTTGTCATTTTGTTCTTGTATTTTCTTCTGAAATTCTTTTAGGGTTTTGTCTGTGTTTTCCTTGATCTGCCTCTCAAACCTTTGAAGATAACTAAATATAATTCTTTTGAATGCCTTATCAGGGAGTTCCAATGCTGCATCTTCCTCAGGGATGTGTTTTGGGTCTGTATCCTGGTCCCTTGTTCCTCCTGCTTTATCTCGCTTCTTTGTACGGATTGTGATGCTCTGTTGTCTCTAAGGTATTGTGATGTTTTTATGTTTATATTTAATTGGTGATTGCATGTTGGAGTGACTTACCCACAATTTTTGTTTTCTTTGTATGTTATCTACACAAGCAGGGTACTGTGTTGCACTCCTCTATTCACTAGTTGATGGCACTTATACACTCACCACCTGTCTCCTTTCCTGTTGTCAGCCTCTTGTATGTCCCTGCTGACTGTGACAAACAGAGCCTATTCTTAGGTCCCTGGAATCCAAATGAGAGTGCTATCACTTTAATATCCAAAATGGCCACCGCTTGTAAACATTCAGAATGGCTGCACCCTCGGGTCACTTTAAATATCCAAAGTGGCTGCCACATAAACAATCAAAATGGCTGCACCCTCCAGGCAGCAGAAAGTCCACATCTCAGGCTGTGTCCCTCCTTGTTGATTCCCTTTCTAATCATAGGCCACCAGTACAGTGTTCCCTACAGCCCTTGGTGACCAGGGCTGATCTTTAGGTGAATTCTCAGGTCCCTACACCACTTGGAACTATACAGGCTGTTGGTCCCGTCAGAGTAGCTGACAGTCTGCAGCTCCAATCGTCTCTATACTCACTGTTTTCATTCAGGTTTTTCCATTAGTTGGTGCCTAATCCACTTCTGTATAGTTCCTTTCAAAGCTCAGGGCTCCAGGGTTATCTTCTGTATCTCTGTCAATTAGTTCTTCTTTTCTTTGTTGAAGAGGGTCTGTGTTGCTTGTCTGCCTATTCCTCCATCTTACGAGAAGTCTAAACATGAAAGTTTTCGTAGCAACTTTGATCTCATAGACCAATATAAAATTTTTGCCTTTTTCAGCATTTTTACCAAGGAGCTCTGGTGGCACAGCGGTGGGTTGCTAACCAAAGGTCGGTAGTGTGAACTCATCAAGCACTCCACAGGAGAAAGATGTGATAGTCTGCCTTTGTGAAGATTTACAGCCTTGGAAACCCTATGGGGCAGTTCTAATCTGTCCTATGGGATCTCTATGAGTCAGAATTGACTTGACAGTAGTGGGTTTAATTTGGTTTGGTTTAGTAGCATTATACCTAGTAGGATCTTGCAGAAATGTCTCTGATTGGTCCAGAAGCACTGAACCATTTTAAGTTTCTGGGAAGCATCTATAACTTTCCTATATTCTCTGAGACTCGGTAACTTCCAAAGAGGATCAATACTAACATATGTCTGTAATGAACTACCAAAAAACAAATAAACTCACTGCCATTGAGTTGATTCCAACTCATAGCAACCCCCTTTGGGTTTCCAAGGCAGTAAATCGTTACAGAAGTAGATTGCCCAATCTTCCTTCCATGTAATGAAGTAAGGCCTGAAATAAATTTCCTAATCTGGGAAATTTCCTTATGGTGTACATGGGTTTGCAGTGTATGGTCAACTCATAAAAGCTGACATCTTGTATATAGTTCAAGAGATTCCAAACTTCATTTTCAGGGAAGCCTTCTGAGGTGAGATTAGTCATTTAAGGGGAGTTCCCCAGCTTTGCCACTGACAAAATTCATATTACAATATAAGCTACAAATTCACCTTTTGTAGTTTATTTTTATTAATTAAATGACATTTCTAAAAGTGTGAAAAAGTAACAGCATGTATAGCATTGAGCCTCCAGAACTGGCTAACCATAAAGATACAGATTTATTTGACTGCTAACCAATTTGAACACCACTTCAGTTTTTAAGCAGTATTAGATAATTAACACTGAATAATATGCAGCAGAACTGGATTCTAAAGATTAGTAATCTATGCATGACTCATCTCTGTCAGAGCTGGGGAAAGTCTGTGGTAAAGAGGCCCAGAAGAAAAAAGAACATTTCTTTAACCTTTATTTAAAAAAAAAAAAAAAAAAAATTAATAAAGCGATTCATTATCTTTAATCACTAAATTCCTTTTGGGCAGCGGAAAAATAAGATTCATGTATATCTGCATATCTTATTTGTTTGATATTAAACTACAGGTAAAGAGGCAAGCCTTAATAGTTGGCTTATTGTTTGAAAAAATAGTTAATACATATTATTCATGGTCGCATAAGAGTATCTGGGAGCTCTGGTAGCGTAGTGCCTAAGGCACGTGACTGCTGACCAGAAGTCTGGCGGTTCAAACCCACCAGCCAATCCTCAGAAAGAAGATTGGGCAATCTACTTCTGTAGAGATACCGCCGTGGAAACCAAGGAGGAGTCGCTATGAGTCAAATTGACTCTCTGGGAGTGAGTTTTGTTTTGTTTTGTTTTGTTTTTTATAAAATTATCTTAAATCCTATGCAAAGGAATTTTTAACCTGAAAATGAAAATTTGTAACTCCTAACAGCTCCCCATACCCCCACCCCCCGGAAGATCAGAAGTTTTCAAATGCATGGTCTGGATGTGTTTCTGAGTCTACATTTCTGAGATTAACGGTCTGCCAATCTGCAACTATTCATCTCAGTAACTCCATTTGCTTAAAATGAGTCTTCAACCTCAAAGGCAAGGCTATATCCATCCGGTCACAAAGTCTGACTTAAATACAACCTTCTTACTTTCACTGGAGTCAGACATCAAAATAATATAAGTTTGGTAAACATATACATTGTTTTTTTCACATGAGCTTTACTTATCTAGATACAGTGAATTAAATTCTGAATTCTGGAACCATATTAATCCTTCAAGGAAATCATAAATGTTAATCTTTCCTTTAGACTACTGAGCTCTTGATAAGAAAATAATTTTTAAAATTAATTTTCCTGTTATGCTTATGAAAATGAATATTTGGAAAACATACTTAATCTGGTATGAAGACAAATAAGTTTTGGTTGATTTCTCAGTTTCATGAATTACTCAGATTGTATAGGCTAGTAAATTTTCCAGGGTGCCAAATTACTGGGATTTTAGAGGATGAATTTCCAATGGGAGATCCTTTGGGAGGATTTGTGACCTCCTGTGAGAAATCACTGCTACAGAACTGGACATGAAAGTAAGGAAGTCATACTTGCAGTCCATGGAGCCAGAGTGTACCACCCCAAAATCAACTAGAATAATGCCCCAAAGACTCATGTGGCTTTCCTATTCCCACATCCAAACTTTCATGTAATTTTGACCTTGTAAGGATAGTCTTTTTGGTCATACATAAGAGATATACATCCTTTAAATGTTGACCAAATCCAAACACATATATAATAATGCCATAATTCTCCTGAACTATGAGAAAACAAATTTCTGTTCTTTAAAGCCACTATTTATCATATTTCTGTTAAAGCAGCACTAGAACACTAAGTAATTTAACTGTAAGAGGCAGGTCTAGGTATCCTCAGCTTCACATGAATGTGGTAAAGCACATCTATTCAGAGATTTCCTGATTTTGTCCTCATTCTATAGGCGACTATACCATTACCTCCATCTCCTAACAACTGAAATCTCCTTTAAGCAGATATTAAAGATTCTCTTTCCTCATTTTTCAAAGTATTGGTCTCATCCAACTTCCAATAAATATTTTTCCATTGAGTTAGATCATGGTAAGGAGGTAATTTCAATTCCTGGCTACCTTCTACAGAATCCAGTGGTAAGAGAGCTTGAAAAAATAAAATGCTTCTCTTCTGACTCCAAAGAGACTGAGTCTAAAACTATCAGCAGTTGGAACAGAATTAACTGTTATTTTAGTACTCAATCAACCTCCTACTGCTAATTTTAATATTTTAGGTTTTATGACAGAAGCTCTTTAGAGGTTGAAGCTACAAAAAGGAAGGAAAGAGGCTAAATATGACATGTGTGAGCACATGGACATGACTCAATATATGTGAACTGCATGTATGTGTATTTCCTTGCAAATGAAAATAAACAGAGATAAGCTATGCCTTATCTGGACATGGCTTGTAAGCTAAACTGGTAATGATAGCAGGATTCCGAGGCTCTGTAATTAACCAGAGATTTACAGGACTGTATACTGTGTGTGGAGACAGGTTAAGAATGACAAAGAGAAATTTAAGGAGGATGCATAAAGTCGTTATGTAATTTGGAAGATTGTTGTGCTTCTAGATAAGCTACTGCCTTCATAAAATTTATTTACTATTACTCAGCTTGAGATTTTAGTATTAGACTTACTCATCTAACATTTTAATAAAAGTCCCACCCCTTTAATCTTCTTACCTGTTTAGGTTGCTCTAATATTTGAAGGTATGGGCCATCTGCTAAAACAAAAACAACAAACAGAAACCAAAAGAAACTGTGAGGCTTCTCAAATTTGGTATAAAATATAAAATAAATAAAAAACTGAAATTATGTTTCTAAATAGAGGTTTCAATCAGTTATTTCAGCTAAAATTCCACAAGGATATATTATCTTTCACTTTTGAAATTGTAAATTTATCCTTTTTTTTTTTTTTTAACAACAGTTCTATACCTTTGGAGAGCCATCATAAATAAATGTTTGTTGAATGATGTTGAGTGATGGCACACTGCCTAGTCCAACAGAAGGCATATGGTGGCAAGAATTAATATGTTCTAACTAAGCATCTTAAAAAGAACACCAAAGCCACTGCCGTTGAGTCAATTTCTGGCTCATAGTGACCCTGCAGAACAGAGAGCTTCCCACAGGGATTTCAAGACTGTGTATCTTTACAGAAGCAAACTGCCACATCTTTCTCCCATGAAGCAGCTAGTGGGCTCAAACTACTGACTTTTCAGTTAGCAGCTGAGCGCTTTAGCCACTGCACCATCAGGGCTCCTTAAAACGCCACACATACCAATTAAAAGTAAGTACCACTTTTTGGGGCACTATGAAGGTCTTTTTCCTTCACGTGGTTAGACACTGATTTCCACTCCCGGGTGCCTTCTCAAAAAGAATGTGATTTACGTGAAATTAGAAGGGACTGAGCTAGCACTTGCATGTGTGCAATACACAGACATTGATCTCAGGTTACCTGCTTTTCCTTACACTAAGTATTCAGTTCCTTTCCCTTACACCTAAATCCATAACTTCATTCCTCAACTGCCTACCTTGTCTTCTCCCTCCCTCAACTCACTTAAATATGATTAATCAGACGTGGTGGATTCTTCTTATCAATCCATACTTCAGACATTTATATGAAATTTTTTTCATACTGTGCTCTCATATAAATTCTGTCCAGAAACAGCATGAGTATTTTTTAAAATACAATCCTGAAAATAACAATTTAATTGAAGTTAGCACATCAATTAATTATTGCAAAAACAATGAAAAATAAAAGCTTAATCCATACCTCCACTGTATCTGACTTTGGGAATTCAGAGGAAAATCAGAACCTCTGAGAGCATAAATACAAATTGACTGAACATGAGAAAGTCCCTAAACTCCCCAGCTAGTTTTTATGTCAACAGTATAATAACCCACAGTTCTGCAGTAAATGAAGGCATATGGTGTCTCTCAATTGTTTGAATGTAAATTAAGATATTTGTTACTAAAAAATTCTAAAATATTTCTTTGCCCATTTTAATGTCTGCTGTCTCTCAGCTAGGAGCTCTCATGGTGCTGTGGTTAAAACAACAGATTGCTAACCAGAACACTGGCAGTTCGAACCCACCAGCTACTCCGAAGGAGAAAGATAAAGCACTCTGCTTCTGTAAAGTTTTATAGCCTTGGAAACGCACTGCAGCACTTCTACTCTGTCCTACGGGGTCGTTGTGAGTCAGAATCAACTGAATGGCAGGAGGTTTGGCTGGAAGGAGAGAAGGGTCTCTCAACTAGAAATTTAAGACCTTTTCTTTCTTTTCATCACCCCCCTTAAATAACAAGTCCTATGGTTGGCAGTTCAAATCCACCAGCTGCTCTGTGGAAGGAAGATGGGGCAATCTACTTCAGTGAAGATTTACCAACTCAGAAACCCAATGGGGGTCGCTATGAGTTGGAATTAACTCGAAGGCAGTGAGTTTATTATTTTAAATAAGTAAATCCATGAAGAAGAGACAAACTTTTAGGTTGAAATTAAGAGTAAATTATAACTTAGAAGAGAATTTATCTTCTTAGTGTTACAATGAATCAGGATAAGGCTAGAGAACTGTAGGAAACAAATACATAATTGTTTCCTGTTATTCTTCATGAAATTCACAGGTTGAAATATGGGAGTAACTGGCTAATGTAGTATAATTTGGGTAATGTATCTTCTGTTGTCTGCATGAAATTAATTCCTAGAAATTTTAAACCATTTTAGGAAAGAAATTACAATTTAAAAACTCTAAAACAAAATGGCTAAAATTAAATTTTTATAAGGAAGTAAAGCCAAATTAGAAATAAAAATATTCTCACACTATTAGTATACAATCTTGCTTGGTAAGATAGAGGAAGACCTTCAATGAGGTGGATTGACACAGTGGCTTCAATACTGTTTGAGCTCAAACACAGCAACAATTGTGAGGATGGTGAAGGACCATGCAGCATTTTGTTCTTTTGCACACAGGGTCACTGTGAATCAGAACTGACTTGGCAGTGTCTAACAAATAACAACCACCACCACCATATATAACCTAGGGAGCCCTGATGGTGCAGTGGGGTTAAGCACTTGGGTGCTAATTTAAAGGTCAGTCATTTGAACTTACGGAGCTCTGGTGGCATAGTGTCTAAGGCATTTGACTGCTAACCAGAAGGCTGGCTGTTCAAACCCACCAGCCACTCCTCAGAAGGAAGACTGGGCAATCTACTTCTGTAGTGATACCACCTCGGAAACCCAAGGAGGTGTTGCTATGAGGCAGGACCAACTTAACAGCAGCGAGTTAATATGAACCTACCAGGCCCTCCACAGGAGAAAAGATTTGGTCATTTGCTACTATAAAGATTAACTGCCCCCTATTGGGGCAGTTCTATTCTGTCACTTTAGGTTGCTATGAGTCTAATTAACTCAACAGCACACAGTAATATACAATCTATATGACAATATAATCTATATACTCATTAAAACATTTTCTTTATAATGTTAAATGTATATCAAGAGAATAGGCCTCTAAGAAAGCACATTTGGAAAAGAGGCCATGGAAAATTTAGAGGATGCTTAGAGGAGCTCTGGTAGCATAGTGCCTAAGGCACCTGATTGCTAACCAGAAGACTGGCAGTTCAAAACCACCAGCAATTCCTCAGAAGGAAGGTTGGACAATCTACTATCAGTAGTGATACTGCCTTGGAAACCCAAGGAGGGGTCACTATGAGTCAGGTTAGACTCAGTGGCACATAACAACAACAACACAGCACACTTACAGTAAACTTTGAGTGCCTCACTTCTTATTAATTCTCCTAAAAATATTTGCAGTTTGGCTATTGTTTTTCTTATAAGATTTAATTTCCTTTAAACATGTGAAATTTTAAGGTTTGGGAATTTTATTAGTAAAATAGGACCATTTTTCTCTTTCAGGGAACACACTCAAGAGCTAAATCAACTAGAAAATTAAATTTGATATGCATATATTTGTTTTAAGGTCAATTTTCCTTTGGCTACATTTCTGTTCCATGAAAGTAACATCCCACTGTGCAGAAAATTTAAATTATAGTGTAATACACAGATTTAACAATAGTACCCCATTCCATGTAGTTTTCAAAAAGTAGCAGAACTAGGAAAGGTTTCATATTTCAAGAAATACCTAAGAGTTAAAAAAAAAAATCCATATGAAATTACACATTAATATTGGTTTAGGTAAACTCTCTATGCCTTTAATATGTGAATAATATTTTTATACATATTAGATTATAAACTTGGGCTACTGCAATAGAGACAACTGGCAGCAAGGAAAAATATATTGATAAAATTAATGGGTTAATAACAACTGGAAAATAAGATTTTTAGGTATAATTTAAAAATTCTGTTCTAATATTATGGCAAAATAATTTATACAACTTGAAGCTCTGATAACAGAATAGTTCCCGAGATGGTTCTTTTGCTCATCTATTGTTATATCCACAAACTTGAAGGAATAAAAACATTAATGTCTGCCTAGGATATTATTTGGCATTCACAGGCATTAAAATATGCACATTTCCTGAAGGCAGAACCCAGCTGTTGTAATTTCAATAAGGCATTAATACTAAGGAAAATAATTTCGACCTCAGGAAAAAAAAAGTTCACAGGAAGCACAAAAGCTACTAAGATATTTACTTGCACACAGGAAAGGGACCTGAAGCTCAAATTGGATAGCGCCTTGTAAGATCTCAGAGATGATAGCTTAAAAAAATATATATTCTATGTGGTAAATAGAGAAAGACCTCGGCAGTAAAACTTGTGCCAGTGAAGATGAAAGTACAGCAAATAAGTTTTTCCCTTTCATGAACTAGAATTGCTAAAGACAAAAATGCAGAAAAGCATTCTGATCTAAAACATAATAAAAATAAGTGTCAGAGTAATAATAGCAACTTTAAATAGGAACAATACAAACTGGATAAAGCTTCCCAAGGTGGACAAGCAAGTCCAAGGTAAACAAAATAGCCTGATGTCTCACTTCAATGATTAGAAAACTCCCTCTTTTATACACTATCTCCATAATTCACTCATATTGCTTTTGAACATTGGTTTAATGATGTGAGGAGCTAAACAGAACATAAAACACACCAACACATAGAGCTTATATATAAACCAATAAATATAAGAGACTAAATGAGCTAAAAATTTTTTTGATCAGTCATATAAGATTAGACAATATGCAAATGGGAATAATTAATACAGTCATGTTAGAAAAAAGATTACTATTATGAGTTTTACCCAATTGGCCAGAATGTAAAGCTAAAGACCCTTTAGAAAGGTAATTTTTCTACTGAGAGATTTTTATGGTTTTTGTACACTTTGTTTCCCTACTGCCTGGCATACAACAGGCCCTCGGAGATATGTTTTTGGAACAGAAGGGAAGAATGAAGATTGTCTCATCTGAATCTGGGAGTTAAAGTGAACCCAGAAACAATAAGATTGGGAGAAAAAGAAAATGTTTCCATTACTGAGGAAAGAGCAAGAGTTTAGCATCAAAGTAAAGAAATTCCTTTTAAGCTGTGCTAGCAGGTATCCATCCTAGCAGTTATTAGTAATGAGTCATTCAATGAGTAAGTGAGGAAAAACATTTTTGTGTAAGTATTTTTCAAGAAAATATATTGAAAGATTGATTTTTAAGCCATTAATTACCATGTCCTTTCTAAGTACACCACTGAATTTCTGAAACAGCCTACCTGTAAATTCTTGATTTAAGAAACTGAAAACAAAATGACAGGACAACAGGGATAAGGGATGAGAAAAATGTATAAACTTCTTACCTGTTGGCAACGGCATCTCTGGTTGAAATAATTCTGGGTTAAACATTGGACGATTCAATGGTTCCAAGTGATACATCTGTAAAAAAGAAAAATCATTATTTTTCCAACACTGCATTAAAAATTTGAATTTGGAACACCTAAACATAATTATAGGAACCAAAGTAAAGCCAAAAACAAAAATATGAAAATATTTCAAATCAGGATCTTAAAAATACTTTCATGAGACCTAGTCAGGTTCTCTTGTGTACTGAAGTTTACATAGGGTTGGGCTATGTTTATGTGACAAAGGGATTTGAGAAGAATAACCTAGCTATAAAGTCCACAGAGGCAAGGACCTGGTTTATCTTATTAATTTACCTTCTGGGTCAAGTGTACACATCGCAGATTGTACACTCAAAAAATATTTATTGAATGCAAGATTTGAAGCTTGTACTCTTTTAAAAATATAATGCTATATCAATTCCAAAGCCCCTGAAAATAAGCATATGAATATAATCCTGAAAGTGTATATATTTCTTTTATGCTGGTAAATGTACCCCTATTGTAGCTACCTAATTTCAAGGCCTGAAAGACAAAGACAGCAGCCCTAGAATAATTTATAGAAAACTGAAAATATAATTTATAGTTCAAAGAGCTGATGACTGAGCACTGAGTTCCCTCATATTTTTCCCCACTTTTATTTTCCTAGCACAATACAAAATAGCTGAGACATAGTGGGTATGGCAGGCTGAATAATGGCCCCACAAAGATGTTAATAACTAATCTCCAATCCTGTGACTTGAAATGAATTTATATAGCAAAAGGGACTGTGTAGATGTGATTATATTAAGGATCTTCAGACAGGGACACTATCCTGGATTATCCAGGTGTCCTTATGAAAGGGAAGCAGAAGGAATAGTGTATGAGATGTGATAATGGAAGCAGGAGGTTGGAGTGATGCAAGGAGGGGATCACAAGGCAAGGAATGAGGTGGTCTCTAGAAGCTGAAAAAGGCAAGGAAACAGAAGGAATGCAACCAGTATGCCGAATTTAGACTTACGACCTCCAGAACTTTAAGAAAATAAATTCATTTTGCTTTATGCCACTAAAAAACCCCACAGCCATTGTGTCGATTCAGACATTGTGTCGAACCTATAGGACAGAGTAGAGCTGCTCCATAGGGTTTCCAAGCCTGTAAATCTTTATGGAAGCAGACTGCTTCATTTTTTTCCCATGGAGTGGCTGGTGGGTTTGAACTGCCACTTTTGGTTAGCAGCTGACTGCTTTAACCACTGTGCCAACAGAGCTCCTATTAATGCACGAAGTATGCAGTAATTTGTTACAACAGTTAACTGATACAAGGGGTATAATATACATTGTTTTTAAATTATTGTGATTTAAGTTTACAGAGCAAATTCATTTTCCATACAGCAGTTCTTACACATTTTGTTTCATGACACTGACTGCAATTCCCCAGTGTAACAGCTCTCTTCCCACTTCCTTCGGTAGTTACCTCTTCCCTGTGGCCTTCCCTCCCATGCACTCCCGCCTGCCCCCAGCTGTCTCCCTGTGCAAACACTGCCCTTCTGTTCGCCCATGATTGATTGCTCCAAGTAGTGTATCTACTTGATGTAAATGCTCAGCCCAGATTTCTGTCTTTTGTTTGGCTGGAAGCCCTAGGAATGACTTCAATTCCACACCTGAAGGGTAACTAGGGGCCACAGTCTTAGGGGTCTCACCAGGCTCTATCAGACCAGCAAAACTGGTCTTTTTTTTTTTTTTTTTTTTTTTTATGATTTTGGGTTTTGTTTCAAGTTGTACTCCCACTTATCCAGGATCTCCTGCACTGATGCCCCTCAGGGTAGTTGACATTGGCAGCTGGGCATCAGTTAGTTCTTGGACATGAAATACATTTTGATGGAATGTAACTCTATCTTGATAACAGCCAGATAATTACTAATAATTTCTTATCTCAAGAACAAATTTTTCTTTCTACTTGGTTCATTCAGGTTTAAATTCATATTTCTGAACTTGCTATTTGCTTCAGTCTAAAGAAGTCACTTGTTTGAATCCTGTGTGGACAGCACAGAAACAAATAATACATCACTCTTTTACAATGTGCTAGTTAGCTCTGGTAGCTTAGTGCCTAAGGTACTTGACTGCTAACCACAAGGCTGGAGGTTCAAACCCACCAGCCACTCCTTGGAAGGAAGGTTGGGCAATCTATTTCTGTAGTGACACTGCCTCAGAAACCCAAGGAGGGGTCGCTGTGAGTCGGGTTCAACAAGACAGCATATAACAACAGTTATTAAGTGCGCTGGAACTAGTATGAAAAAAAAACAAACAAATGAGATGTACAATTTGCCTCCTTGTCTTTATTAATAAATTACTGGTGATTTTGGGCACCTAAGAATCTAGTGTGTATAGTTAAATCAAGAGTAATAAAAGAAGTGTTTGTTTAAGAATACTTCAGATCCAATTTTGAAGAGTAAAAATTTCTAACTGAGGAACAGTATGCTTGCTCCACTTCAATGCTTAAGAGCAAAGCTCATCAATGCTATTCATTGTTTGCTGGAAAGGAAATATAAGGAATAAAAAATAAATGTGATTGTAAAAAGGGCTCTACCTTATAGGGAATATTCATCAGTCTCAGAGCAGAAAAGATAAACTAGCAGGAAAAAAATTTACTCCTCTGTGGTCCCACAAGGGGCTAAAATGACCAGTTAGAAAGCAAAACACTTATCTTAAGAGGAGAAGAAGAGAGAGACACACATTCTGCTTCAGACAAAGAAAAGAGAAGCTGTGTTGTGCTGCAGCTTGCACTGATTGTAAAGTCAGGAATGGAGAGCAAATTCCAGAATACACTAAAACACTGAGGAGATCTCACTGAGAAGAACATGTAAACTTTAGGAAATGTAAACCATGAAGCTCATGGCAAGGGAAAACAAAACAAAACAAAAACTTCAAGGGCCTCTCCTCTCAAGAATGGAAATATCAGAACATGCCCCACCTCTGCTGCTGATGATCACAAAAATGCCCACATAAGAAAAACTTTCAAAATGAGTGTTTTCAGCATGTTTTACTCTTCGGTGGCATAAAGGGCCATCTCTTGTTGATAAGATTTCCTGTGTGTAGACAGGAAAGCATGGTTTAAAACCAAGCAGAAACAACCCTAATACTGGTTAGAGTTTGCCTTTAATTGCTAGCGACAGCATATTAAAAGTGAAAGGTAAAACAAAGGCTTTTGATAACACAAATAGCCAAACATCTTTCACACTGTAATCAAACAAGTTCCTAGATTTATCCTATATCACCATTTTTTACAATAAAATTCGAAAGAACCATCTTAACATCAAAGGCAATGCATACTAATTCTTCCTAAACCAATTAAAACATAACCAAGAATAATGAAAGCAGTATTAGTTTCTTCTCTGTAGAAACTATGCCAGACCTCTTAAAAAGTATTTCACTTCTTGTCTGAGTTTCTGCATGCATAAAATTGGGAAATCTATTTTCTCAGGTGGTTTGTTGCTAAAATATAAATAGGGAATGACTGTAAATATCGGACTAGGGTGTCCTGGTACCTGATGTTCCCTCTCCCTAGAATACCTCCTTTTGTCCTTGTCTATGCTAGCCAATTACATGTTCCATAACTCAATTTAAACAGACCTTCTGTGAACAGTCCTCCATAGACCTGGTCTTCCCTCTGGCAGAATCACAGGATACCTCTCAACATTTCTAAATTCATCTCCTCAATAAACAAATGGTGAATGAATAAACCTCAGTATTTTAAATACTTCTTAAAATCATTGCATTAAATTTTTAATATTCCCCACAGTGTAACTACTCTGTTGACAGAAACCAAACCCAATTCACTGCCATCTAGTCAGATCTGACTCATAGCAATGCCTCCTTGGGTTTCTGAGACAGTATCTCTAAGGAAGTAGATTGCCCAGTCTTTCTTCTGAGGAGTGGCTAGTGGGTTTGAACTGCCAGCCTTCTGATTAACAATCAAATGTCTTAGGCACTATGCCACCAGAGCTCCTTTGTTGTAGCTAGTGCCATCAAAACTAATTCTGATACATGATGACCCCATGTATGCAGAACAAAACTGTTCCATAGTGTTTTCAAAGCTGTGACCTTTTGGAAACAGATTGTCAGGCCTTTCTTCTGAGGTGCCTCTGGGTGCATTTGAATTGCAACACTAGTAGTTAAATGCTTAACCAACTGTATTACCCAGGGACTCCTGCAACTAACTACCCAAGAGTCTGGCTCATAAAACACACACACACACACACACACACACAAATATATGGGTGTATACATACTCATATATACATACATATACATACATACATACATATATATATATATATATATATTTGTAAACCAGTTGTTGTCTAGTCAATTCTCACTCATGGCAACCCCATGTGTATTACATCTATCTATAAGAGCTCTGGTGGCATAGTGCCTAAGACATTTGACTGCTAACCAGAAGGCTGGTGGTTAAAACCCACCAGCCACTCCTCGGAAGGAAGACTGAGCAATCAATCTACTTCTGTAGCGATACTGCCTCAGAAACCCAAGGAGGGGTTGCTAGGAGTCAGATTCAACTCAATGGCAGTGAGTTTTGTTACGTATATCTATAAATGGAGAAAGAGATAGGGAGAAGCAAAATGCGAATAACCAGAAACTTTATGTGAAGGTTTGTTGGAATATTCAACATTTCCGTAGAACTGGAATTTTTCAAAATAAAAAAGGTAGGAGAAAAAATGAAAAAAGAACACTAGTGTCCCTTCACAGTTCTGGTATAATAATGATAATGAACAGTTTTTTGCTCCCAAAGAGTCAGCTCTAACTGAAAGGTTGGAAGCTCATGTCCTCCCAGGAGTGTCTTGAAAGAAAAGTCTGGCAATATATTCCAAAAATTTTAGCCACTGAAAACCCTAGGGGCACAGTCCTACTCTAACACAGTCAGAAATGACTTCATGGCAACTTTTTTTTTTT